TTTCGGATTCTGGTTTAAATTGATACCGTCAAATATACATTTCATTTAGCAGGCTTTGTGTGACAGTTCTTGTATAAGGTTAATCTTTATAAGATAACCTTTATTGACCTTCACATCAAAGTATATAATGTAGAAAAAAAGGTTCCAGAACTTCAAGGGATATAAATATTTTGCATAATGGCCTCTTTTCTGATTTTGTTCTTGGATGTGCGCAGCTGACAAAAGCTTACCAAAGCAAAACTGCCGGAATCACTTCATGATTTAATTAACAAGTTATGAAGACTTATCAATTTGACCAAACCTCGAAATGAAAGGAAATAAGCTTGCCATTTAGGCATAGCATTTCAGCTAGAAGTAAATACGTATTGAACTTTAGAGAATTCTGTCGAGGATAATAATGTCAAGTAAATAAAATATACAAATTTGCCCGGGCGTAACAAAATGCTGTATTTGCCGGTTGCGTTCGGAACTCCTTCCCGAGTTTCAAATTTTCTCCTAAAGTTCTCAACTTTCCAACTCTTCTCCATCCAAAAGGTTTCAACAATTCTAAACGAAAAAAAAAACAACTGCCACTTTTCCTCCTGAATATCAGGTTTTATATTCTTCGATAGACAATTTAAAAAAAATAAACATCTGTATATTTTCAGTCCAAATTTGAAACTGATTGATAAGGGTTACTTTCAATGACAAGACTATCAGTTTCTGCCATATAGTGCTGCTAGCCCAGGACAATATTATACTTTCTGGTCTTCAAAAGTACAAACACAATGACTGTTGAGTGGAACGTTAACGTAACAATGGTGACCGAATATCATATTAATATTTTTTATTGATATTGCTACTATAGTTTTTATTGATAATGAAAACAATTTTCATGACGCATCCGACAGGCCGGTTCGGGAGGAGTAGGCTCAATAGTGGGCACACTCCTCCAAACGGATCCCAAGTTATCAATTTTGCACACAGCCGCAGTTGATAAATCTTGTCCCCCCTGGAAATGTAAAAAGGCCATTTTCTCTCGTCCAATATCAGTTTATTCAGCCCAATTCTAAATTTACGCACATGCAAGTCCACATTGCATGCATTGTTCACGTTAACAATACAACTTCAATAATTTCAGATGAAAAAAATCTGTTTATTTATATATCCGTTTATTTATTTTTATAATCGAACGGTTTTTTTTTTTTTATACAACTGAGCGTTTAATTTGAGAAGTGATAAATTTTGTCCCATGAGGGTTTCAGGTTTGTGGAAAGATCAACACCAAAAATCACACCAGATGAAAAGAAGTTCGGCGTGTTCTGTCAAACTAAGGCAATTGAAAAGAAAAAAAAAAGTGTCTTGCGAGTACCACTGGGCATTGGCCCGAGCTGTACTGACGCAGAGCCCAATTGCCTGGATCGTATTGATACTTGGCTATTTACGTGGGCTTTCTGACGATTTCTCTCCGCGCCATATCTCGCCAACTCCCCCTCCATTGTCTATTCACTAACAGCCGGTCGTGTTTGCTCTGGACCTGCGGGAAGGGGTTGGTGTTGATCTGAGAATTTGATACGTCTGAGGGTTTTTTCCTCCCCTCTCCCTAGTTCGACAGAAAATGCAAGCATCCGCCCCTTTTCAGTCTCTCGCGTATACGATCCATCGAAGCCTCGGAATTCGGGTTGATATTCACACTTTCAAACTGGGGGGGGGGAGGAAGAATGACTGCGTGAACGTGAGGTATTCACTTTACGGAATATTCGTCAAAAGGACCTCGCTGCAGGAGACCGGAGAATCTAATGAACTGTTTTTTTGTCCTGGCAGGAGAAATGTATCCCTGATCAATATTTCAGTCAACCGAAATGGCAAGCTCAGGCAAAAATAGAAAGAAAAGGCAATAATGAGATTAAAGGCTTCACAGATAATCCCTCTTTAGGTGGAATGGCGGGAAAACGTCTGCTCACTCGTCACATTTAATTAATTATTGACAAACGTATCTAGTAACATTGTGTAAGATCAGACGGCTAAATAAAATTTGTGAAAAGATAATGCACTCAATCGGGTTTTTTTTTTTTTAGGAATGATTGTCTGTCTTTGAGATCCATTTGACAGCTGATAGGTGGGAGAGGACGGATTATACCCCCACCCTTGGATCTCATCGTTGCTCGGACGGATTTCATCGAATTCTAAAACATTGCTTAAAATCTCATTGTGTAAGATCAGACGGCTATATAAAATTCGTGAAAAGATAATGCACTAAATCGTTTTTCAGGAATGATTGTTTGTTTTTGAGATCCATCTGACAGCTGATAGGTGGGAGAGGACGGATTACACCCCCACCCTTGGATCTCATCGTTGCTCGGACGGATTTCATCGAATTCTAATCATGGCTCAAAAATTTCAATCCAAAGTATGAAGTTTCAGTGCAACAGATTGATGGGCGTTTGAAAATCTTATCGTCACTAAAAAAAATCACACAGCTTTATGCAACGACAGAACAGTTTTCCTACCAACTGTTATTAAAAAAAAGTTGACTTTTTGCGCCCGCCTGATTTTGAAAAGTTGACACTTTGCTCCAACGGTACTTTACCGTTCGACCTTTATGAAATGGGTGTTAAAACGTGCGCAAGGAAGCAGCTGCAAAACTCATTAAAAGCTCTGCACGAAGAAAAATACCATGACGGACAAAAGTAAGCATACTGTGTTCGGATTTGGCCCAAGGTTCTCCCAGGGTGATATCACTTTTGTTTGAGAACATGATTATAAAATGCCTTCAAGCCTAGCCTATAAGTTCCTCGCTCCGAATCGACTGAATGTAATTCAGATATAGCAATGCACAATGAGCGTCATTGCAGTCATGCTATTTTCGTTCACACGAAATATACATATATGGTAAAGTTTTGTGATTAACTTCAGTTTGAATTTGAATGTTCATAAATGTCTCGGATGAATACTCTAATGTCGGGAGTGCTTTTCAGGGCAAATATTTGACTGTTGAATTACATATTGAAGCATTCATTTCCTATCCATTGCATTATGAACATTAAGAGTGTGTTTGCACTCAACGAAGTATGGTAGAATGTTTACGTACACAACAGTACATTTTAAAAGAGGGAGAGCTATTTCGTATAATGTACGTGCTTTACCTCAAGCAATGCTGAGAAACTACTTCGGTATTTTTGAGATTCGTACAACTGAATGATTCCAAAACTACGTCATCATCCTGAAACGTGGGCCTTCCCGCTCTAGGCAATTGCGCCCTCCGCTTTCGTTGCGCCCTCTACATGAATTTTGAGCAGAAAAAAAGAGTGAAGAGCTTGGTATGAATGGCAACTCATCCAGCCACTGTTGGGGCCATCAGAAAGAGGATCGAACACAAAGTGACCTGAGCGAACTGACCCTTGTTCCGCCCCTTCCTAAACGTTCAGTTGTTGACAGGACGGAATACCCAGGCTGTAATAACCCATTATCATGTCATTGAGACCCCACGGATAATAATGATAAACAAAACAAAAATTTAGGTCAGATTTCACAGACGTATAAAAGACATGTCTGGGGATATTTGTCATCATATCGACCCCACTTTCATAAGAATCGATTACCTGTGTTATATTTCCGTTCGGTGTCCAATTTGCCTCACAGATGCAGCGTTGATTTACTCCCGAGACCACCCCGATAGAGTTTTCGAAAGAATTACGCTACTTTCACCGTCTATTCTTTTTGCTGTTCCCTTCATTCCTTCCCAAGTTGCTGCAGCAAGACATAAAACTTACACTACGCCAGCTCACATTACCGTAAGTCTATACCAAAGACCATTTAAAAGGTAATCAAGCGATCGAAGATTGGCCGACGTTGTCGTACGCAGGGGATACAAGCTGTAATAATTTGGATCCTTCCGGGAAGCCTGCCCTCTTCGATTAAGCTGTCGGTCCCCAGCCCGGGTTGGCTACATCCAATCGAAACACTCGTCAGTCTCAGAAACTATGCTGTCATCTTCTCTTGGGGTTTATATCTTGGCATAAATGCCACTCACTGCATTTGACGTGCATGCGATTCGATACTGGTAAAAACCATGAAGATTCTGTCTGTAAAAAGTTCAATTTCTATATCAATTATTACCAATCCAACACAGCTGACAGAAAAAAAAATGTGATCAGAAAACAGGTCACCTAAGCGGCAAAGAGAGCCAGCAGTTGCTGCAGGAGGCCCGTTTGGATTAATTCCGCTCACAGTAATGTTTGTTCGGCCATGCAAAAATAAATTTAATTGAAATTTGGTATGCATATCAACACATTAATGCGAAGTCTACTTCTCCAAAGGTTCCTTCTAAACGAGCGAAGCGTTTTGTAATTACATTCATAAATATTCCCACTGTTGTCCACCAACGATTTCTTTTCCTGTGCATTGTCAAAGACAACGTTTACATTTGTGTCACCCTTCTTTGACCCTTCTCAAGAACGATAGGTCCTAATTGATACCATTGATTCAGAATTTTCGTGGGACTAAACAAGGCTCGCAAAATATGCCTGGCATTATATCGGTCGTATTACCGAACGGGTCATTAACCCATTTTTAATGTTGCCTAAAATTGGTCATTAAGTAGGCTACAATGCAACTTTAACTTAATATAAATATTCTTTAATGATACTTCTGATGCCAAAGTAGTATTTTTTCCCCTTGATATTTAAGAGCAACATTTCGTGCAGGTATAGAATCGAGTATTTAATCTATTCATGATTCAACAGGTTACTCGATCAGACATTAAATTGCCTACTCCATCGCAACCGACGATTTGTTTATCGCGTGTGTCATTTGTTGACATTATCACCGGTAAGTTTAGTCAAACGCCGGTCAAACTTCGACCGGCAGCGCCGATCAGTGTCAACAAACCAACTTTTTTTTTAAACAAGTCACAAAAGACGCGTCCAGAGTCCGAGAAAAACTATCGGTGGGAACCAGGACACGGCAGTCGGGCGATAAGGAAAACGGTCGAACTCTCACACACGGCAGCGTACCAACAAGCCATCCACGGCAGTAGTAAAACAAGTGTTCGTGCTTGGAGTACCTCTAGGTCTATATTTCCACGGCGGAACTTGGGAATTGAACTGTAATTCTCGTGAAGTAACCTAGAAACTGTCATTTTCTCTTCCTCTTCAAGGCTGACTACGGAAAACGGGGAGGCACGGCCCATCATATACCACTTGATAATCGGTCCGTGATCGCCATTACGGCGGGGGAAAATGACGCTAATGAATCGCTGAACCACCCTGCATGGCTTAGTCAGCTGGTTGCTGGAAGGACATACATCCCCGACGCAGGTAAGCCGGGAGTGCCATGTACACTTAATTAGCCGTGCCGATCGTTACCGGTATTCGGAATCGGGTATGATGGATAATTTCCCTACAAGTACATAGAGAGCTTGGTAATACTCGGCTTTTTTCGGACTCAAATAAAGAGTTAGGTTCAGGTAGATATCTCAGACCTAAATTCACGTGAAAAAAATGCTAAACACATGATGCATAACCAAATCATTCTTATAAGGCATCATTGTGCTAATATAGTATTTGAAACTAGCGCGTCATATAACTAGCGCTAATACCTGGAACAAAGCATATCAAACTCCCTCAGGGTTGGTAGATCGTGCACACATAAAAACACAAAGCTTCCTCAAAAATAGGTGAAAAAAAGGTGTGACCAAAAAGTCAGCAGGGAAGTTGTCATATGCTGTTTATTCCTAGCATGACATTATGAAAAATGATTTTTGTATTTGTGTTAAGCTAGCATTTTCCGTGGCAAATGAACCTGGTTAAATTGTTACCAGATTGCTGGCTGCGTGTATTTTGAGCCGTATGTATAGTCCCGGGTAAATTAGACGTGAAAACACTGGCTTTATTTCACGTAAACTGGTTATTAGGTGACGTAATTGAAGCTGCAACAGATCCTTGCTTTGTCTTGCCAAGGTGTTGCTGTCTACTATATTTAGTTACATAATGAATGATCAAATAATAAAAAAGGTGAAAGATTATAGACTTTAATTGTATTTGCAATGAAATGTTAAAGAATATCATGCGGCACTACCCCGAATAGGCGTATATAATGTGTCCAAAAAGAAAAATATGGGGTGATTTTTGGAGAGGGGGTGAATTGCTCAGTAACTATTTCATATTTTCATAAGTGTATACTTTATTTCAATCCTAGTTTTTTCCTCTTTTATGTGATACCAGCAAGATGATGCGAGGGTCACGCATGACTGATCCGAAACTATCTGAACAAAGTCAAAGTAGTGAATACTTTTAGGCTAATCCAAATAGTACAAAAGAGTAAAGAGGTAATTGAATTAGTCTGAAGGTATGCAGCTCCGCATACCCCTTATCCAGAACAAAGCAATAGTTCAGATAGTTCGTGATCAGTCATTGCGTGACCCTGCCATGATCTTGCTGGTATAGTATGAAAGAGAAAGAAAACATTAAGATTCAAACAGAGAATACACTTAAAAAAGTCCGCTGTCAAATTTGACCCGGATTATATGTCTCATGGGGCATGACCCTTTTCCGGGTCAAAAAAACACTTTTCCATGTCAAATTGACTCGGATATTGAAGTGTATTTTTGACCCGGAAAAGTCTCACGTTGACCCGAAAAACGTATTGTTTTTGACCCGGAGAAGGGTTAGTCCCATTGCAAGGGACCCGTATTCCGGGTACCCGTGATTTTTTAGTGTGTACTTATGAAAAATGCTAATTAGTTACCGAGCAATTCACCCCGAATCCCTGTTTTCGTTTTTTTCCCAGAACACAATATACCATCAGCTCCGCTCTTCTCCTGTTTATCTTCGTCTATTTGCATTGTGTAGTCGAACCTATCGCAAGTACAATTCCAACTAAAGTCGTCTAGTCCGAAAAAATGTTAGATAAAAGCATTGCTTTGCTATTGTTCGTCCCTTGCCATTTGTGACTGGCTTTGGTGAAGGGACTTGCAATCTACTTAGTCTTCTTGAGACCGGAATTGCAATGGACTCGTCTACAATACTAGCCCTTTGCATGGAAGGTTGACAGAGAGTCTGCACCGACAAGCTTAGAAACCTCCATGGAACAACTCGAGAGATTTCTTTTCAATGTAACATTAAGTTCCAGTTTGGCAATTCTGTGCTTCTTTTCTTTTTCTATTCTATTCAATCTTTTTCTTGCAGCTCAACATAGCAATTTAACACGTGCACTTTTGTGTATACTTGTGGGTCCCTATCACGCCTTATTTCTCCCACCATTTTCACTGGTAAAGCTTGGTACAACGAATCACGAGCAATGTATCGAACGGCTTGTGACCTCGGTGCAAGCAGTGAATGCAGTGATCGATCAAAAGGATTGCCGCTACGTGACTAGAATTTCACGGCCGAAGTAAACACACAAAAAAGTATGGAGTAAACAAGTAACAACATCACAAATTGCCCATTCCTTTTCCCCAGGATATGATGGACACATTCGTCACAAATGAAAAGTACCCTCAATTGTTTTTTTTGAACCGCTGTACGCACCGGGTAATAGGATGAAAGCAATTTCTATCATAGACTGTTAGTTATTGCCAATCCAGCTCGAGTATTCTTTCCATATCTGTATGACTGTACTCGGAAATACAAGTCGTAATTTAATAATTGTTGCAAGGACAGCCTTCAATTTGGCGAGCATGGATGTGAAATAGCCGGGATGAGTAAGGGGTTGGGTGTACTCTAAAGTCCCCTCGTGGGCGTTACTCGTCAACAGATATGAGTATTAGCCGTCAATATAGAATCAAGCTTGCCGAGCTTGCTTCACCTTGTATACCGCGGCAGTCCGCTAGGGATGTAACTTCATATTTTTAATCAGCGACATAAATGAAAAAAATAAATAAAAATAACAGTACATTGCTTCTAGATATTTTTTATCTGCAGAGCGCTTTTCCTGGTGACGATTTGAGAAACGACACAAACCAGCAGATCGATAGGCCTAAAACGTAATGGTGTTACGCTATTATGCGCTTTCTTGATGACAAACAGGTAGCCAGGAGAGCTACCAAGCTCCCCCGAGAAGACATAAACTAAACTTGACGTCATTATGTTTCGGATCAATTGTTCTCAACAAATGCCACTTTATATAAGGCCAAGATGACCCTTTTGTTTGGATATTCCTAAACCAATGTTGAATTTACGTCTATAAGATTAGCTGAGGGAATTGTTTTGTACTATTTACATTCGAAAAGGTGAGTCCAAAAAACTCTTCTGTTTTTGAAATTTCCGCAACCTGATGGTAATTAACCATATACAGTGAGTGGCATCCTTGGGACTTGTCGCGTGCCGGTACTTTGATCTACCCGCGCTAATGACATCCGTTATACGTTCATCCACGTCCGTATGATGTACTGATCCTACGCAAATTGGTGATAACAACGTGGAGCTTATTTAGAAAAGGATTCCGGTACTAAATGGCATGATTAGGTGAGAATAATGATATGATTAATGAATATTTATCAATGTGAAACGATAAAGAGAAGGATCAGTGCTGGTTTTTGTGCTTGTTCTGGCTACTGCTTGCAGCTGGCGAGAGGAGGTAAAGATGGTGTATTTCCTGAAAAGAATTATCCCACGTTAAACCGAAGGGTTCGCTCAGAGAGAGGTTTTTGCTTCTTTTCCTTCTTTGCCGCAATCTTTTCCCTGTCTTTTCCTGAATCTTTCTTTTGGCCAAACCAAACGGAAACACCTTACCCATTAGTCCCATAGTTGGAACATGGACCGTGCATGAAGCTGAACGTTGACCTGCATTAAGTCTCTGAAATTCAGGAGCGCCAAAATGAAACGTCCTTAAGTCGGAGCCGCAGACGAATCCGAGGATTGCAAACCCCCAACAGACCTAGCAAGTCGATCAAGGAAAGTACACAGTACATGAGTCCCAACCCACCGAGTGGCGTCATAGCGTCTATATTAGTTGAGAAAGATGTAGATATTTTTTGTTCAACCACGGAAGATGATCCTTGTTGAGCTTAGGCCAATCAACATTGACTTTTACGTTTCATCACATCCCTCCTCGATTTGCTCTCCAGCTCCGTTTTTTTATATTTTATATTTTTGTCTGAATATGTGTCTTTTTCCTTAAAAAAAGTGTATTTTTCCAGACAAGTTTCTCACCAAATCCACAGCCGCACTGTGAGGTTCATCACACTTTCTTACTTCTAGACACAAACCCTAGGTCACTAAACAACTGACTGGTACTTAATATTAAGTACTGTTCTTATTTGTTGTGTCTTCTTTAAAGTTTATCTTACGTTGTCCCCTCAACTCACTTTGAATGTGAAGAAGTGGAATTTATAAAATATGTAATCTTAATTGCCCTCCCAACTGATGTTTTTCAATCTTGAATAATGAAAACCTAAAAATCAATGTTGATTGGCCTTAATACGTGGAAGGAGAGCAAAATGAATTATCATCGTCGATGTAAACTCTCGTTTGTTATTTTTATGTACCGGGTACCGCAGTGAATCTCCATACACGTATTATACTATTTGTCACCGTACATTTGCAAACTACAATCAAAATATGTTAAAGCATGTTCAAAATGTGCTGTAGATCAATTCTAGCAGTTTGACATGTTTGGTACCCTGCGGAGAAACTCTGACTGCCCTAATAACACAATGTTAGGCAGCCCTTTATTACCTTTTAGTTACCTTTTCGACGCATAACAAGCGCGAAATAACATAGCACTTGTACACGTACGTGTTTTATATTTATCCGACCATAATCTGCATGCATGCAGAGCGCCCTTATGGATAATGTAGGGTCGGATTAATTTCACCATCAGAGCCACGCCGAGCGCAATTCTCCCGCCTAATATCGGGATTGTTTTGACAACCCGTAAGCTGAAACACCCCAAATTGCAAGCCAATTTTCCTTCAAGCCCCCTTCTCCCAGACGTGCTCGTAGAAATGTCGTCAGAAGAAACAAGAACAGAAAATGATGGCATGAAGGAAAAAAACGGAGAAATGAATGTTTATAGCTCAAGGCGAGTAATAAGATGAAGTTCGACTTGTGATACTGTCTGTCAGGCTGAATTCAATCTACCCATATTGTTTTTAATTATCAACTCTATCTCTCTCCCTCTCGCTGCGCATTGTTAAGCAGTAAGGGGTTTTATGTATTGTCTTCCCTTGCTTGGCGCCTGCAGTGACTTCATCTTTCATCATACAAATCTTAACAAATTGTTTTCCCCTGAGGTCGTGAAAATTAACATTTTTGAATTATTGCCCTTGTGTCTCAAATTTGCTCTTGTGCATAAGTGAGAGGAGGCGCACTTACGA